GTCGTTTTATAGTCTTAGATCATGGTTCCCATTTCTATAAATTTAAAAGACACTTGCATTTCATCTAGCACAAAACTGAATTATTAGATTTATTGTTCTTAGTTACTAAACTGCAATATAAACAATGTGAAATAAGGCATAAGGAATCTGAAAATTTGAAAAGGGTCATTTTATTCTGGTATTACATGTGCTGTAAATAAAAAATATAAATAAAAAGGAATATGTAAACCTACCAAGCTCATTTGAAAAGGGCCATTTTCTCCTTCTATTCACGTTGTTGGTCAATTTCTTGAGCAAGAAAATTTATGACCGGTTTGGTATGGTTTAAATCATGGGAGTTTCGGGTACTTGAAGCTTCTTTACTTGATGAATGAGTAAAGTATCAGGACCTGGACCCACTCATTCCCCAGCCAGGGAATACAGCTTCTCCTCTTCAATGTTGTTTACCTGAAATTTTATTGAAGCATACGGCAACAAAATAATACACTTACTTTTCTACCTCAAAATATATCTTGAAAAAATGTGGATTTGATAATTCCTTATGTGAAAAAAGCTATAGTTCTATAAAAGTGATTCCAGATATAACCATATGTGATAGAATATATGATCATAAATCCAGAACTCCATATTATATTGACACTGTCCATGTTTATTTTAATTCAACATTAGAAAATCAAACATTAAGTTATCAATATTAAATAATCAAACATTTACAAAAAAACAGTCAGCCATAAGACACTATTTCTTATAATAACAAAAAACTCTTTTATTAGTTAAAATTAATTTGTTCTGTAAATTCCCATCCAAGATGACTTGAGCATTTTATCAAACATGACATATGCAGAACTTGAGACTACCTATACTATAAAATATAGATTTGGCTCCATACAACAAATTCGAATATAACTTGTCAAGTCATTCAAAATAAATATTAATCCATGTTCTATTCTCATGTGATATGAGAAAAGTCAGAAAACATGAGAGGTTCCATGTCAAATTAACCATAACTTGTGATATCAAAACACAAGAGAACGTTAGAAAACATATTTGTATTATAACGGAGTCCCATTTTTAATTGAACGAAAGTATAAAATTGTGGTGTTATACTGGCCAGAGTAGTACTATGCTTTCAGGACTAATAAAGGCTAAAGTCCCAATGTCATAACATACCTGTTTGCATCTTACTACTCTACTCATTTGAGGATGTCACATAGATATTACCCTAAGTCCCAAATAAAAGAATTAAACCTCCAACAAAATAAATAAACATCTATCCGGTCCAAAGAATTCACAGTAATATATTGCTTAGTAACACAGGTATTTGTGGAGATACAAATCTTGGAGGCATAACCATACCCTCTGAAAATCAATTCCTTAAAATTATTAATCTAAATAAAGTTGAGAAACAGGTGACATTTGAAAACAGAAATAAGGAACAAAATATGATGCGTACAGCTGATCCTCTCAAAGTAAATGAAAGTTCAAAGAAACACAGAAACAGTTTAATAAACATCACCTCCTCATCTACTCAAGCGATCTAATACCCAACTCCCAGTTCTGGAAAGGAATCGACCATTTTCTTGCAACCCTACAAAAAAATGCAGCTTTCTTCTGCATCTCAAGTTTGACGCTCGTCAATTGGAGCTTTAGAGGGGCCATTGTTTATTTTTACGAATAGAATGCAGTCTGAAAGATGTATCCTGTGTGAAAAAAGGATCACGGTGAGTGTGTATACATAGGAGAGCAGTAGATTTCATAGATGGGAGGATTCTCGGATTGTAAAGGAAATTAAAATTGCAGATGTGTGATAGAAGAGAATCTAAGAGATGAAGAGAAATTGAACGTGAAATACCTTTGGGAGGCAAATTTGCGGTAACACAATGAGACAATGGGGTAAACTATGCTGGTTGCAGAAGGAAGGATTCGTTGATGTAAATGAAATTTGCAGACGGTTTAATCGATGTTCTCTTAGGTACGTTGAAGTTTTGGCCGGTGTTATCGCTAGAATTGAAACGTACGCTTGGCTTGGGAGTAACGGAAGAAGGTAGTAAATAGATTTGAGGGTGAGAGAAGCCGGAAAAGTTTTGGATGAAAGATTTGCCATTGGATGAAAGATTTGCCATTATTTGGAGACAATAATATTTTTTCTATTTTATTTAATATATTTAAAAGTCATGATAAAGAAATGCTTATTTTGAAAGTGAGTGACTTTTAGGAAAAAGAAGAAGCAATGATCATGTATCTTAAATATTATCTTCCGTTCCATAAAAGTTGTAACAATTTGACTTTCACGTTTGCCAACACGTAACTTTGACTGTAATTATATTTATTTGCGTATTAGTAAACATTAAAAAAAGTTAATATATTGGAAATTTACATTAATACAAATTTATTAATATTTTATACATAATATTTTTATTATATACTACCTCCGTTCTTAAATAAATGCAACACTTTGACTTTTACACTATTCACATGTTCTACTTTGACTACGTTTTATTTATTAATGTAATACTATTATTTTATGGAAAAAAATTTGTTAAACTTGTCTCATTGTAAATTTTCATAATCTAATTTTTTAATTTTTTTACTAATACAAAATCATTTATATTAATGGTCAAAGTCGTGTCTCGGCAAGTGTGAAATGTTGACCGTTGCATTTATTTAAGAACGGAGGAAGTATATTATTATAAAATCGTAGTCAAAGTAAGTTGTGTGAATAGTGCAGAAATTCCAATGTTGCAACTTTTATGGAACGGAGGAAGTATGTGTTACTGTGGAAAAACATTATGTATAAAAATAGCACATGAAATAGTACTCAGTATGTAATAATCACACACACACATATACGTGATTAAACTAAGTGTTGTTTACAGAAACACTATCTTTTAAGAGTAATGACTATAATACAATTAATACGTAGTAGTAATTTATTCATAATAACTTATAATCAATGTTTTATACTTGGTTATTACGAAACTACACTATACTAATTATTAGTCATATTTTTGTTAATAACTTTTATTTCATTTTTAAAAAAAACTAAGTATGCACTAAATAGAAACATAAACATAAAAGCTTTTCAAAACAAATTTGATTACACTTTTTGGAGAGAGCGTAGCTCATCTAATAGAAAGAGAGTGCCACAAGGGAGAGGTCCGCATTCAATTTAAAGCAATGATTTAAGATCGAATTCTACTCTCTTTCCATTAGAGTGCAAACAAAATTCAACTTACATTCTCCCAAATAACTGTACCGCCAATTCTAGGGATCTTAAGGGATGTGGTGTTATTTTTTGTATGCTTGAAAATTTTAAATAAAATAAAAAATCTAAATAGTGCTCCATTTTTACCGGGGCATGTTGTATCTCTCTATGGCATGTGTATGTGTATACATACGAAGTACTACGGGTATAATTTAATTGATAACAATGAACTAACCAATAATATGCTAGTAATGTGGAGGCCGGACAAATGAATGTTTCAATTGAGTGCTCGCGTTTGACATTTAATAGCAGGCAGATATCAAAGTCAGATAAATTAACCGGAAGAAGTGCAGTTGTTGACCACGTGAATTTCTTAGGCGGGAACAGTTATGGGACATACGATTCCCTTTTTAAATATATATAGAGAGGATTGTGCAAGTTAGACTATGTGAATTGTATGATGTTGTCATTTGCTTCTTTGGAAGACTATGCTTCTGACAAATTGTATTTGGGGCTGACTTATTTATTAGTTTAGCGCAATATGCTATTGCATGAAGCATTGTCATGTTATGCTCTTGCTTATTTAGGCTTCATTCTCATTTCTCCCCTTTGTAAACTACAATTTTGGTAGTTAATTTACCTGCACTTTTTGATCCAAAAAAAATACATGTATGTACTTTTAATGAAAAATGCACCATAGAAATTAAATCAACAACATGGAACATTAATAAATACACAAAAAGCAACAATAAAAAAATTATGCAACCAAAATTATAATTTAATGATAATAATTTTTTAACTATTTTAAAAGTGAAAATTCCTAAAAGTAACGGTTCTTATATTTTTTTTTACATTTTCACAATGTTTTAACTAATATTGATCTTTAACCTTTTCATTTTTCATTTTTGTATTTATTAATTTATTTAAACCTTTTTTTAGTTTTCCAAAATATTCTGATTTTTAATTAGGTTATTTTAATTCAATTTAAAGATTTTTAAATTTTGATACATTTTTCTAACTAATATTTTTACTTTTTTATTTATAATTTTCGGTTAGTTATCAAACATTCAAATTTTTACATTTTTGACATTTTATATTTTTATATAAATGAAATTAACTATTGGGAAATTTTATTTGAAAGAATTTTGCATTTTTAGAAAGTCCCCACATTTTTTACTACATTTTTGAACTAATTTTCGTTTTTTACATTTGTATTTTTGAGTTATGAATGTCTATTTCTATTTCAGAATTAACTTTTAAACTTAACTCTTTTTTTAAAACTTATTTAATAAGTTTTCAATCTTTGATTTTTTTTGAATTTGAATTATTATTCAGTTTTAAATTTACTATTATTTTTTCACTTTTAATATTTACATAAGTACATAATCGTTTTCATCTTTTGTTACAATTGTATAACTTTGTACGTTTTTATACATGTAACAAACAATAAGCAAAGCACTTGTTAGGAGAAGGTGTTGTAGTTCGCTCCAGGTGTTCTCATACGGAGTATATAATGGTCTATTTGTGAAAGAAACTTTTAGTTAGTCCAATTTTGAAATAAATTTCAAAAGATGAAAAAAGTGATATTTTTTCAGTTTTTGGTCCACTTGCAAAAAAATCCCATCACTTTTACCATTTTTAAAGTTCTTTTCAAAAATACATTAGCTGAGATTTTCTTTTCACAAATACATTGTGCATATAAGATCCACTTACCTTGATCTCTACTCTCTCTTTTGGCAAAAAGTAAAATTATTTATTAATGATAAAAGTAACAAGAGACAAAGTAATATAATAGCTCGATTCTACACTGGCATGAGATATAGAATTAGATGGCCTCCAAGGACCAAACAAATTCGCTAATCTCGTAACTATGTAGTATAATCTAACAACACTACTGAACTTGCTACTCAAAAGGTAATTGAAGAAAACAAGTTGTCCAAACTAGAAAAGAAATAAATTAAATCAAGAATCACGACATCATCAGTCACCAGGAAGAGAGAATTGATTTGACGAGCAACTAACAAAGGAAACTCAGCAGAGCAGAATTGGGCCGAAGGAGATGCAGCCACCGTAAAGTAGATGCGGTCAAACGCTGACTTTCTCCTGCAATGAAGTAGTGGTTCGGGAGGAGGAGGAGTAATTGGAGACTCAGAAAAGCTAGGTTGAACCACATGTGCCATATCTATCTCGTCATCGCCTCCCTCCATATCTCATTCAAGAATCAAGCCCCTATCCTCCTCTTCCTCAATCATAATTCTACTACAATGTGCAGCTATCCTTTCCATGGAAGATCAAGAACAGAAAACATGAGCAATACAACAAAAAGAACAAACTTCCAACAAAAGGCTCACAGTAATGGAGTGCACACAAATCTTTTGTCCAAAGAATTAGAAGAGAATTCATATTCGACAAAGAAGAGATACATAGAAAAGAAACCCAGTAGAAGACTACAAGCTATGAACAATGAATATTGATAAAGCATGAGAAGAGTCACCCGACCACCAATTGTTGTTGTGTTCCGGTTTCCGAAGGGTCACGTCGTTCCTTCTTTTGAAGGAATGCATTCTCGTTAATCGATGTAGCACAAAACATTAAAAACATAGTACATAGTATAATGGAGGCCTTCTTCTAGTGGGGGCCTTGTTCCACTGCACCAATTGCACCCGTATTGGGCTGGCCCTGAATATCATTATATGAGACTGGATTTTGAACTTCAATTTCATATTGTACTACCCCTTAGTCATCTTATATATATATTGGACTTGATTATTGTGAGAATACTTCTTCTTATGATAAATGAGAACGACTAGAAATGATGCGCATCATTGTTCATTGCAGTGCACATTTCTGGTAGTGCACATTTCTCTCTCATATAATTTACAATTCTCAAACCCAACGCCCCATATTCATATGGCATTTCATCTTATTAACGTTTTACAAAAGGCAAATGTAGCATAGAAATTTAAAAAGGAAATATTAAGGCTTTTGTAACTTAAATTTTTGTGACCATTATGTTTCACTGGAGATCTTTTAAGAAATTAAGTATGGTGAAAATCAAACATAAAGAAGATCATCCATCAATAACTCCATGTCTAGTTGATCAAATTATTAACATGTTCTATATACCAATGAGGGTTGCTATTGCGCTACTTGTGCTAGCGGGATTATCAACTCAGATTCTTAGAATTACTTTCATTCTTATATGCTCTATGGGATATAACTCTTTATCAATATTTTTTGTTAGGTTTTTAGGTTTTGGGTTGATTTTTTCACTACCTAGTTTGATAACCTCAAATCCATAAACACATGAATTGTCAAAGGAATTCACGTGTTTGTGTGTCCTTTGTCCAACAAACCTTATCTTCAATGATATATATGAGTGTGCACATGAGAATACAATCACGAATAAAGTAGAAGGATGTCTAATTAAATGTGGTGCTACCAGACAAAATGATGGATTTATTCATTTAATAGAAAAAACTTAATTTTTATGTATATCACACAACGAGCTTATCCACAATGTGTCCTATTACTATATAAGCCACCTATTTTTTTATGTAATAGTAATCACTTCCTTCCTTATAGTCATACACCTTCTATTTAAAGCTTATTGTTGATTTGACACCTAGAGCTTATCAAGTACATTTTCCCTTCATTGCAATATTTTGGCATTATATAGAGTCTCATCACATAATGAACTTTAAAGCATGCTACTATGTATGTTTTTTAAGTTTTGTACACCAACTTAGCTATAATGATGACATATAGTACAAATTAATCATTTATGGCTAATAGAGCACACATAATTAAAATAGAAAACTAGTGAATTGATTAATGATCAATTCTTTATTTTTTTCTTAAAAGGATTATCCACCACGTTAGTGGATTTTGAGATTATCTATCCCTTTTATTATATTTTTCATGAGATATTAATGATTTATGACCATTATATTGATTAAGTTAGGACTATACCTCATAAGTTATAGATAGTGAGCTATCAAACAAATCACTTGAATGGTTGTCATAAAATAAGTTCATTATATCAATTCATCTTGATTTTTTGTAAGGATTGTGGCACTAATGTAGTCCTCAATAATTATATATAGCTTCATTGCATTTACATTGTGACATCATAACTACCAAAATAGGAAAATATAGTTTACCATCATCAAAGGTTACCTTTAATCAGGTAATAGCAAAAATATCGATTAAACCTGCTATGAATCTTGTAGAGGTATCTGATGAAGCAAGATTATTTTTCCATTCTCATCAATGGGAAGAGAGACTTCTAACTCTTTGGCAAGTACATTTAATATTAACACGTTTGTGTGCACATAATGTATCATTTTCTTGAGATAAACAAAAACAACACAAATCGAACCTTATCATAATCAAGATATCATCTGATAGAGGAGATTAAAAGCACCATGTACCATTAAATAAATTAGTTCGGATAAAATGTCATTTAACAACCAAGGTTACCATAATTTCTTGAAAGCGGTTGTTTATAGTTTGTGAGACTAAATTAAGATTTTGGCCCGCTGTCAATGGTGTGTAAACCTATAAGGTCATATTCCTAAGTGAGAAAATTTTGATGTTAAAATAGGATATGGAATCAGAGCAAAATCGAATATGGACTAGTGAGCTATCCCTCATCACAAGCTTGCAAAATGGGTGTTTTGGTAAATCAATCTCTTACTCCTACAATATTAGTGTGATACACACCCTTGTTTTTTCTCATGATCATATCATAAAACGATTTATGATAAATAGACAAAAAAGCGTGAAAAAGGTTTATCATCTCGATATCTTTCTATCTGTTTCTTCTTCACTTCTTATGATTGTTTGATTGTAACAAACTGGGTCTAACAATTGGTATCAGAGCCGAGACGTGAAATAGATTGAATCCATTTGTGATTTTTCGGATCTGCCATCTTCGAGAAAAGACAAGACGAAGAACTGCTCTGTTTTTCTTTGCCTTTCTTTGTTATATAGTTTTGACTCATGTAATCTTGTTTGTGATCGATAAACTGTAAAAGTTATACTGTTGGAACCGTCATCATCTAACGATTATACTGCATATCTTATTTTTCGTTTTCTGCAATCTTTCATTTTTGAATATCTTGACCCAGGGATCTCGATATTCTTGTTTCTCAGGCTGCAGAAACGATCTCGACTTGAAACTAGTATAGGAGGAATCTCGAGATCTAGGGCTCTACAGAACAATTTTTGCTTTTGAAAAATTCGAAGTTTTGTATTTGCAGGATCTCGAACATCAGGATTTCGATTTTCAACTTCGAGAAATGGATCTCGATATTCAACATTGAGAAATGGATCTCGATATTCAACTTCGAGAAACGGATCTCGATATTCAAACATTGAGAAATGGATCTCGATATTCAACTTCGAGAAATGGATCTCGATATTCAACATCGAGAAACGGATCTTGATATTCAAACACCGAGAAATGAATCTCGATATTCAACATCGAGAAACAGATATCGATATTTAACATCGAGAAACGGATCTCTATATTCAACATCGAGAAACGGATCTCGATATTCAACATCGAGAAATGGATCTCGATATTCAACATCGAGAAATGGATCTCGATATTCAACATCGAGAAACGGATCTCGGCATTCAACATCGAGAAACCGATCTCGACATTTAACATCGAGAAATAGATCTCGATTTCTAACATCGAGAAATGGATCTTGATATTCAACGTCGAGAAACAGATCTCGATATTCAACATCAAGAAACGGATCTCGATATTCAACATCGAGAACCTCAACTTCGAAGAAATTCCTCAAAAACTCAAATTTCAAAATTTTCAGCGTCTTCGCACTGTTTTGGCCATAACTTTTGACTCGGTGATCCGATTTAAGCGAATCATACCTTGTTGGAAAGCTAACGAAAAGATCTACATGATTTTTGGGGGTTTACCCCAGATCACCCAACCACGAGCCCTCACTCTCGATTCTTGAGGGAGATATCGTTCGTTTTCCGACAAACATTGTCAATCACCGATGTCATGGTCAAAATTTAGGAAAATCTGTTCAGATTCTTCCAAAGTCAAATCAAAGGTCAAACTTGGTCTCTGCTACTTTGCAGAGGTCCAAAAATCATAGATGATTCAATCAACCTCGCGTCAACAGTCATCTTACAACAATCAACAATCAACTACTGAAGAGAACATGTCCATATGGCTTAGTAAACCCAACTAAGTCTACCCAAGGGACAAAGTCGAGAGTAAGTGAGTGAGCGAGTGAGTGAACATTATGAGCGTTAGGAAGTAGAAGGCTCAAGTGAGCAAGAAAACAATAATAAATGATAAGTCTGCTACCTCAACTGCCTGCTATCAATTGAACATTTACTCCTATCCACTCAAATACTCTGGACAATCCCCATAGGTTCAGGCCTGATTTAATCAGATCCCGGGTAGAAGTCACTACATCTTATCCAACAGCGCATGCTTAACCCTACCCAAGACCACTCACTTGTCTCCCAACAGACAAATGTTTAATCATATTTCACGGGGAACCAAGTCTCTCATTATTGTCTCCTTCTGAGACAAGTGATACTGACTACAGTTGCCTCGGCCCCATGCCACTGAACTTTCATTGATCACGTCGTGTCTAGTTACCTCACTCCCAAATGTTTTGAATTTTCTAGGACACAGACGCACTTTTAGAGTCAGTTGCAGGTCTTCATGACCTGCGAGAACTTTCATAAGGCTCATCCATTACAGATGTAGACCAATGATTGGAAGGAAGTCCTGCTGTTGCAACATAAGAATCACCAACATTTTCAGGCCATTGCTTTAGAGTTTATCTCTATAGTAATGATAACGAGCGTCTACATGACCTCGAGGGGCTATCGGTTTCTCAACGCTGATCTTTATGATCATGCAATAACAACCAGAGTGACATCTTTTCGGATGCTTCACAATGACTGGTTGGAAGTCCTGTTAGAGCTTTAATGTTTCTATCATTTTATATAGGCCACACGTGAGTGTTTACATTGATGCTGTGATAACGGAACACCTCAATGTATCCGGTTTTTGTCATCTTACTTTTTGTTGTTTTTCTGTTTTTGTTTCCTAGAATAAAAGAATAAAGGCATGACGCCCCGATTCATCGGATCGTCATGAGGGGGAGAGTGGTCCACATGTTGTTAACTCTCAACAAATCATTCTCGGACACTTCTCTCCTCTAACACTTTCTCTACTATCTCTATCAAAAGCTTCGAATCAAATGGACATCTACGCTCACAAGTTAATCATCATTTTCCGTTGTGTCACTGACAAGATCTCCTCAAATGCATTCACTTCAAATAGTAAAAAAGACTACAGTGTGGAGGAGACAGAGGTCAGATACTCATGTACTGAAGATGAATTCCATGTGCGCCTGAAAATTATCAGAACGTTCGTTCTAGAGGCACCTTCGGACTTCATTCAATCTGATCAAGAGCTACTTCTGGAAGGCAATGGTTACAAGCAAAAGATTCCTCAACTCCCGGCATCAAAGATCAAATTTAAAAAAAATACATCAAAGAGGAGATTGCAAGGATTTCTTCATAAAGCCTTCTCAAGAAGTCAAGTTCAAAGACAAAAAAAGACATCAAAGGGGAGATTGCGTAGCACGAGCTCTGGCTAAACTCTGTCCCATCTCTTTTTCTGTTTTTCTTTGGCTATTTAATTAATTAATTATTTTTATTAATTAATATTTCTTCGTTTTTCCGAGACACACCCAATAATTTCTACCAAATTCTAACCTGGATATGGCTAACCTTTTATCCCATCAACTATGGACAATACATAGCCCTATAGTCATGTAAATATCCTTAGTAACCAACGTGGACGGGTCCCACCCGAATGGCCCACGTAAACTTACTCAAAAACTGCATATTCGATGTTTTACCGAGTACCCGATCGGGTATCCAACCATACCCGGTCAAGTATTGTGAGGGAGTAGCCCCTGGGGCTGTTTTTAACTAATACCCGGTCGGGTATTTACCCATACCCGGTCGGGTATAGCCTTTGACTTGGCGGTCAACGCCCGTTTGGCCACCCAAACGAAGTCCGATTAACGTGAAATTTTACACACATGTATTTCTTGACATCCTTAATCCAAAAATACCATTTTGGATCCTTGAAACATCATACATAATAATTTATCACATTTTAATCATCAAACATATATAACATGCTTTTCAACTATGTTTTATATATAATCATGGCATAACAAATACTTGATTATCTTTAATCAGTCCATAAAACATATTCTTGATTACTCTAGGCAATCTCATGCCTCACACAAAAGTTATAAATCATAAAGCCGTCTTCTCACCTTAGTGACACCTTTAAGAAGTTATACCCTCCCGATTGAACTCCGGCGAAACTCCGGCGAACTTTGTCTAGCTCCGGTGATTATTCCGGCGACTCTTTCAACTCCGTGAAAGCTCTAGGAATACCTTAGACAAGTTCCTAACAAGGTTTTATAATGACAAAACCCATATTAATACAAATAACTTCTAAAAGGTTATTTTCCGGCGAACCAGTCACTTTGGCTTCTAAGTCCGTTCTTGGACTTAGAACTACCTTCCAACCCCTCATTCTACACTTCTAAATATGTAGAACAAATTTCAGGGGTCCTCCATATGATATATATGTCATATGATAGATAAAAAGTAGGAAAAAAGTTATTATAAGGTTATTACCGTAATCCTTCTCACTTTTCCTAACTTTTTCCTTCTTCAATCCTCTTCCTTGGACCAACCTTGCTTGAGCTCGTTTTGCAGCAATGGAGGATGAACTTAGAGCTTCTTTTCTCTCTCTTGGAAGTCTTTGGTCGAGTTAATGCGGAGGGAATGGGTAGAGGTACTCTTCTTGTCTCATTTGGGCAATCAGTGAGGTAAATGAGGTCCACCCATGTATTATTTAGATGCTTTTCATCTCAAATCATTTCTCTCCCATCCCTTAGCAAATCATACGCCTCCTTACTCTTATCTCAAGATATTTACGTGGGATGGCCCCCACCCATGTGGGAGGTCATCCCAATAAGTCCCGGATTGTATTTCTCGGACTGATTTAATTATATTTTATTTATCGGACCAAATAAAATATATTTGTTGGGTTAATGGTGCAACAAGGGTTTGTCCATAAGCCCCAAGGGCCACGCTATGAACGTCCCTGGGATGTAAGTCGACATACGTCCATAGGCCAACAGACGCTTTACCTAGGGGCGGATGGGTTAAGGCGACGTACGCCCCCAACAGGACGTCAAGGCCCAATCATACGTTAAGGCGACGTACGTCCCCAACAGAATGCCAAGCCCCAATCATATGTTAAAGCGACGTACATCCCCAACAATACAAAGGCTCAGAGGACGATAGGCAACAGAGGACGCCCGTTGTTTACGGGATGAACGTCCCCATAGCCCAAGCCAACTTTGAAGCCTTCCCCCGGGTCGTGGCGACGTTCGTCCCCAATAAGACCAGCCCACATCATCAAGGCCCAAGGGATGTACGTCCCTAGGGCGGCTGACTAGTTTGGCCCAGAGGCAACGCGAGACGTCCGTCCGACACAGCAGAGCACAACAAGCAACGGCCCTCACCCCCGATGTGGGTCCCACGTGCAATTCGCTATTCACGCAAAAGTAGTAACAAAATTTACAACCTCGTAAATTCACATACAATTTCATAAGGTTCAATACATGATTTACATAAAAGTAAATATATTTGGGGACGGTGTTACAAAGTTGCAGGGGGTTGACAAACATTGAATGCATAGAACTTTCTAGTGATGATTAGGGCTGTTAACGAACCAAGATATTATTGAAGTATTTGAGTTCGAGCTCGGTTTCGAACCTAACAAGCCGAGCTTAACGAACTTTCGAACTCGGACTCGAGCTGAGTTTTAAGTTCGAATAGTTAGTCGAGCTGAGCTCGAACATAGTAGTGTTCGGCTCGGTTCGAACTCGAGCCTATCGAACACCCTGAAATTATAAATATAATTTATATATATGTCAAAATTAAAATATAATTAGTATGATTTTATGAATTTAAATATGATTATTAACAAACCGAATACTTGTTGAATCATTCGAGCACGAGCCTATTAACGAGCATCACCTAGAATTTTAAATTCGAGCATATTTATCGAGCTTATCGAGCGTTCGGTTCGAACATCGAATGACTATTGAGCCGAACACGAGCCTCATTTGTAAAGCTCGCCGAGCTTCGAGCTCAAACCCGAACACCACTAATTTCTTATCGAGCCGAACTCGAGCTTTGGGTGTTCGGGCTCGGCTCGGCTCGTTAACAACCCTAGTGACGATGACACTACAATATATTACTTTCGGCCCACCAACGTAACATTGAGACATGATGAGACGATGCGGTTATTAAAAAAGTAAGAACAAAGTAAGAATGATTTATAACTAAACAAACCTTATCAGATTTGGTATGAGATAATCTTGGCAAGACGAAAAAAATAGTAATTATTTTTTTGAAGAGAGAGTAGTAATTATTAGTCGTACTTCTGAAAATATAGTAAAGGGAAAATCGCACTTTTGGACTATCAATCAGTCATCATATTGAAATGCAGACACATGTTTATGAGATTGTAAATGCCACATCCGAATTGACAAATATGTTGTTGATGGAGTATATGGGTCTGAGCCCCCGGACCCACATACTCAGAGGAACAGAAAGCACAAGACACCGAGTGGCGTCCACGTCGGCCAAGGGACCCCCGTCGGCCGAGAAGGTGCCAACTCAGATTATGGTCCTGAAGCCAAGGAACCCGGGTGCCCTCGTCGGCCGTGCCCTCGTCGGCCGTGCCCTCGTCGGCCGCGCCCTCGTCGGCCACGAAGACCCCACAGAATCGGATTCTATACTTACTCATTTGTACAGCCCATTAGTGGCTTTGTATTCGGCCCAGTAGCGGTCCAGTTGTAAATGGGCCTCCCAAGCCCAAGGCTTGGGAGCTCAGCCCGTATTTTCTCTATAAATACTCCCCTTGGGAGTAGTTACAGGGGTCACAAATTCATTCTATTGAAGCATATTATTGCACTTCTCTCTCTAGCTCTCACTTCTCTCTAGATATACTCTATCATTTGGTGCTCTCGTTGAGAGCTAGAACAATCAAGTTAGCACCCTTCGTCGCTACCAAGCACAGCTAACCACTGATCTTGGGAAGAACTAAATCAAACCGTAACCTCGTCAGCAAGGCCATCCCTGAGGACCAAGAGCCCAGGGAGCACGATGAGGACGCCACGGCCGACCAGGTCGGGGGGGGGGGGGACGTCTTCCAGGAGGCCTTCAACCTCACGGCGGACCTCCGCAACCAACTCAACGGCGGAGCTCCTGATGCCCGCATTGGTTTGGACAAGAAACGAGCTGAGAAGACGGACCACGCCCCGGCCCAGCCTATGGCCGCGGCCTTTCCGTCCGTGGATCCACAGGTCCCGGCCGCGCTGTCGGTCATCATCGCCAGCCTCGCTCAGAATCCCACCGTCCTCAGCGCACTCTTGCCAAGGACCGGGGGGAACGTCACTCCACCTCCTAAGCCCCAACCGTTGGCCGTCCAGATAGGCAACGATGAGGGGGTGATGGCCCAGGACACGGCGTCGTCCCACTCCCACCCTGCTTCCCCTCTTCGGCCCGGGCAAACCCCAGCGCGTGGAAAAGCCTCTGCCTTCAACAGGCTAGGTGACACGCGCCGTCGTCCGGTTTCGGAGAGGATGGCGGGACGGATTGGCGAGCGTCGGCCTGGCTCGCCAAGGGAAAGTTTGGGGTCTGTGTCCCGTACAACGGACCAGCCCCGCCCGGATAAGGGCAAGGGGAAGTTGCACGAAGACGACGTGCGCCACCGGATCAATGCGGCTCACGACGAGCGCATGAGGAACCAGCCGGGCGCCCTGCGGCCGCCAGGGACCCCCCGGGATGAAGTCATCGCCCAGCTGGAAAGGAGGCTGGCTCAGATGGAAGCCAAGCAGTCGGCCAATATCCCTACGGTCGGCGCCTCCAACGACCCCGGCCTCAACGCGCTCATGAACAAGGTTAGCGCCCTGGAGAGGGAGCTGGCCGAGGGGCGAGGTGACCCCATCATCCAGGTCAGGACAAGGACCCCTTTCACCAACAGGGTCCTCTCGGCCCCCATCCCGGAGAAGTACAGGGGAAACGCCATCAAGTCCTACGATGGCCGATCAGACCCCCAGGAGCACTTCAGCCGCAATCAGAACAACATGCTGATGGTGAACGCGTCGGATGAATATCTCTGCCGTTGGTTCCTCTCTACTCTCGAGGGGCCAGCATACGAGTGGTTCAACGTGCTCCCCGAAGGGAGCATCGACTCATGGCAGGATCTTGCCAAACGCTTCCTCACCCACTTTGCCGGGAGGAAGCGTGCGAAGAAATATTTCACCCACCTCCTCTCCGTCAAGCAGCAGCATGATGAGTCCCTCCGCTCATTCATTGATCGTTGGACGAGGGAGACCGAAGAGGTCGAGGGGGCCGACGAGCGCACCCTCCTCGCCTTATATCAGGGAGCCCTCCGCAGCTCCCCGTACGCTAGGAGTCTCATCACCGACCCTACGAGGTCGTACACCAAGGCGCTCCAACGCGGAGGCTTGTGCGCCGACGCCGACGAGCTCCACAATCACAAGAAAGAGGGGGGCCATCCCTCCAAGAAGATAAATCCTTCGCCGGCCCCGGGTCCGTCCCCGGCCGGCCAGGGTGCCCAGGGCCGTCACGGCTCTGGTGGACAGAGTAAGAAAGATCGCCACTGGCGACCGAGGTTGGAACGGTCGGGGGTTGCCCTCACTCACCCGGTCGGCATCATCCTCGACTATGCCGAGAAGCATGGCCTCATCGAGCAGGCTCCTCGGCCGGTTGAGGAAGTCCTTGCCATCCAGCAAGGCGGCACATACTGCCGGTTCCACAAGAACTCGTCGCACAACACCGACGATTGCATCATGCTGAAGAAGGCCATCGAGCGTCTTATTCGCTAGGGGAACACTCCGAGTTTGTTAAAGGTGGCCCACGCAAAAAACACATGGGTAAACACCGGCAAACATGGGGGCGAACCCTCTGCGAAGAAGCGGGAGATTGGTAGGCTCAGCGACGACGAGGACTTCGAGGAGCCCCCGCAAAAGAAGAATCACATTCACCTCATCGTAGGTGGGAACACTGGGGGGGACTCCGCCACTCAGAGAAAGAAATGGGCCCAATCCCTTTACATTGGGGAGGTGTCCCGCGTTCCCCCCAACCGAAGAAGCAGCGAACGGAGGCGATCACCTTCACTGACAAGGATTTTCTTCCGGGGACGGGATCACACAGGGACGCCCTCGTCATCCAGTGTGAGATCGGTGACTCCATCATCCACCGCACTTACATCGATACGGGGAGCTCCGTCAACGTGATGTACCTGGATACCTTCCGGCAGCTGAAGCTGGACAGAGCTCTGCTAAAGCCGATCAAGACACCGTTATCCGGCTTCACCGGGGACTCTATCGACGCCGAGGGCACGATAGTCCTCCCCGTGGAGGTCGGTGACGGCCCCCACCACGCCAGGATTGACATGGAGTTCATGGTGATCAACCTCCAGTGCGCCCACAACCTGATCTTGGGCCGGCCAGCGCTGGAGGACTTGGAGGCCATCATCTCCATGAAGCACTTGTGCCTAAAGTTCCCCACCAATGACGGCATCGGCTACGCCAGAGGAAACCAGAGGATTGCCAGAGCTTGCTACCTCAAGCTAACGAGGCCGACCGAAAGGGAAGGACAGAGGATAGACACCATCACAGCAGCCGTTGCCGAGGAC